AGCGCACTTAATCAGTAAAATCAACTATTTCTTTAGAACTATTGTTATAATGATATAAAGAGCTCAAAAATATTGATAACTCTGAAAAGGCTGATTTCTCGATTTATATTTACTAAATATTTTTTACTCATTATAATGAATATTATCTACCATATAAATCTTGAACGTTTTTTTGAACATATTGTATACATCTATAGCATGTATGTGGTTATTTAATCTTGTACACGTGATAATATATTTAAATCCCGGAAGACTGGAACAGATAAATCAATTTTTTAATTTTACGCGTTTAGACAAACGAATATCGGTCAAATAAAGAAAAAAGAAGAGCATAAATTATTTCGCATAAATAAATCCAAAATGTGTGAATTTTTCGTATCTTCAAATTTGACAAATTGTTCCAATATTTCAGGATTGATGTATTACTAAGCGGGGGTACTTCTTCCCAATATTTTTATATTTTGCTTCAAACATCTATGTGAGTGTTGTACCTCACGACATCGTTTGTACAGATACCAGATGTAAGCTACAACTGGTATCGCACAATACACGAAATACAGTGCCCACCAGCCTGGCTTATAATTCACTGCTCTCATCATTCGACCCCACAAAGAATCCTGCATACCACAATTCGTACCAAGATGAAATGTTTGTTGCACATCGAAATTTCAATTTTGATAAGATGTTATCTCCTCGTGTTCGAATACTTGCTCGCGTGTAACAAACTCATATGGTTTAAATCATAATTGAAAAGACACTCACGCTTTCCTCGGCGATCCTAACACGTCGAATCTCGAAGGTATCGTCCGACCATTTCCTCGCAACTTCCTCATCGTCCGTTATAATAATATTATCGAAATATATGTCAGGTGACATCGACCACAGCTCAAAACCGATACCGCTCTGAAACAATTTCACGTTGAGTATTGCAAGTTATATCCTTGAAGTCTTACATTGTCGCACATGAAAGTGAAAGAGAGAGTGTGTGTGTGTGCGAGAGAGAGAGAGAGAGAGAGAGAGAGAGAGAGAGAGAGAGAGAGAGAGAGAGAGACGAATAGAAACGCAGAGATAAAGAAACAACAATTCGATATCATCTACGTACAATTGCCAACATCTCAAACGGATGTTCATCGTTAAAGTACTCGGGGTTGTGTATGAGTCTAGGTTTCCATTTTCCTTTATAATTGGGATTGTTAATGAGCGGCGCCAGCCACTTTCCTTTGTATCGCGGATTCTTCTTCATTTTCTGCTTGTACGGACCGCAACCGGGGGCGTCGGCGCATTTCGGGTTCGGTATTTCCGGTGCCTCCCATTCACCATCCATCACATCATCCCAGTCATCGGGTTTGACCGAGTCGGAATTCGGTATCGTGGGCGGCTCATCCTCGAGCCATCCCTCGGGTATAATATCAGTTTCGTCGACGATTTGTACCGGTGCATCTTCGTCCCAGTCATCCGGCTTAACTGCTAACGGGTCGGGAATCTTTTCTCTGTCGTCCCAATACTCGGGTTGCTTGTCGTCGGGATCCTCTATTTCCAGAGGCGGATTTACTGGCGGAGCAAAATCGTCCAGCAACGAGCCCAAATTTAGTATTGTATTGTCCACTTTGATCACGTATGTGTTATCAGGCCGTATAATCAGGGTATACAAATGCGGCTTTTTATCTTTGAAGTAGTCTTCCAGTCGATCTTTCGCTTTCTTACAGTGCTTTTCCGTGATTGTACCATTCAGTGGATTCTTGTGCCGGAATATAAAATGCAGCTAAAAGTGGAAACAGAAATATAAGTTTTGCACATATATGTACAGTGCAAATACACACAGAACATTCTTTAAGGGGCTATTTTTTCATAACAGTTCTAACAATATGTTTGAGCAAAGCTTAAACTTGACCCTAAGTTTAAACTACTATTGAAAAGTCAATCCTTAATATATAACTTATAACTCAGTTAACTAAAATCCAACTTATTTTTTGTTTCTTGTTAGAGATACAATAAGATAGAAAAAAACAAAATAAATTTTATATTAGTAGTTTTGTACATATGTAAAAATTTAAGAAATAAATAAAGCAATACCTTGTGATCATTACCACATTTATCAGGCCCAAACATTATAGTGTATGGTGTTTTATCATGAAACTGCTTCAAGTCATCATGTTTATCATCTAATGTGAGTAGCTTAAGGTAGGCACCACCACATTCCTGTCCTTCTTGGAAATTAACTTCATATTGTACAATTAAAGGCTTGTCTTTAAAATAAAATGGCTTAGATAATAAAGTAGAAACGGCAGCGTGTCTAGCTTTGCTCTTAAGCACTAGTCCATGATCTCCACTCTCAGCGTGTCTTTTCAGTTCTTCGATGGACCAGATTCCTAATAAACAATATAAAAAAATTACAGAGCTGGGTGATGAATATTTATGATTTGATGTTTTCCTAAATTATATCTATGTAAAACAAATGAATACACAATAAATAAGAAAATATGTGACAGTTGTAGCATTTTTACCATCATATTTTGCGATATCCTCATCGATATCGTCCTTCTTTGTTTCTGACAACACCCAAGTGTTCTTGAACCTTTCTTCATTGTCAAAGTGCTCTGCTAAATAAGCAAAGCCAGAAGGTTCTGGACTTTTGTATGGTGGTTTCTGTATTGTATCACTAACATTGTCATGATTTCCATCTGCATTTAATATATTACAACATGTACCTAAATAAACTAACACCATACACACTACGAGCCTTGCCATTTCATATTCCTGAAACGAGAACAAGAACGCTAGCTTAATTCCTTGATCGTCCGAGAAGAAGACACGAATCTCCTATGATAAGATAAAAGTAATCCTCGTATTTGACAGTGTTGACGTTACCAAACGTACTTTGAAAAATGTTACAACAGAAAAGTAAAACTTAACCTCAATACAGCATTGTATATGTATACACTTGCGACAGTGAGCGCAGCATGAATAGAATTTACATTAACTTTTAATACGTCCAATTAAAGTAGTCTGAAATTATCTTAACGATATACCGTCTAGAGAAATATTTTCTTACCGATGTTGTCGGATGACAGAACTTATGAATAAATCGGCACGTATAAAAATCACACCGCGAGAAACCGAAGAACGAGTGTATTATTCAATTATTTAATAACGATAATCTAATCTATTTACACACGTATGTAAGTTACATATCGAGCGAGGCGTTCTGAAAAGGAAGCATCAACCCTGAAAGTTGCCTAGACTGTATTACGTGCGAAATAAAAAATGTCGCCTGACCCGTCATTAACTGAGAAATAAAAAGATCGTCCGACCCGTCGTTGGGTCGTTTTACTCGTATCGGTTTTTTCCACTAAGGGCGAATTGTTACAATTTCTTGATAAGCTATTTGACAGTTAAATCATGTGTTTTTGCCTAATTTGAAGAAAAAATGAAGACAGGTATATGATTTAACTGTTATCAAGCTTACCAAGGGTGCGTTCTAAAATTCAACCTTGGCTACCATTTTCTATAGTATACGTAACATGAAATATAGAACTATGGTAATCAAAGTTGAATTTTGGAACGCACCCCAAGAGGTAGAACAATCGGGTCTTTAGGCCTGATTTCCAACTTTGTTTCAACTTTTGATAAGTTAATTAATAGTTAAATCATATATTTGTTTTATCTAAATTGAAAGAAAAACAAAGATAGACATATGATTTAACTGGAGCGTCCCAATTAGAGATGCCCGATTCTGAATCGATTCGATTCTTTCCCCAAAAATAGGCTTATTCGTGTTGTTTACACTCTTCGCATTTTTCGTATTTAAAACTAGACAGAAGTATATTGGAATGTTTCGAAGAAGCAAAAACGAAACAACCAACTCAATTATTTTTTCTAAGCGTCTGATTAGGTGTCCACCTCTTTTTAAAAGCGAAAAGTATGAAACATGCAAGCAGCACGAACAACCCTTTTTCTCTAAATTTGTTAGGGAAAGAATCGAATCGATTAAGAATCGGGCATCTCTAGTCCCGATTGACCATGGTACGATTAGACACAACCAACCGATGCAAAGAATTATTTACTGAATTACCAACCAATCATTACAATTTGTGTCCAATCGTACCGTGAACAATCGGGTTCCACCCTAATTTAACTATGGGTTTGTTTTCTATTGCTGAACTAGTGTACATTTTTGGAACTTAAAAAGACAGATATACAGATTGTGGAATCTTCATTATTACCGCTTCGGAAATTAAAAAAAACAAATACAGCATATTCACTACTAACAATATATATTTAAATAAAAAAAATCAGTTCTGTTTACACACACACACACGCACGCATCACACACACACATATACAAAGAAATTACAAGGTGTTTTCCAATTGTTTAACACATCTTGACACACACATGTACACAAAACAAATTTATTGGTCATATATTATCTAAAATATCTTGTAAGATAATATGCAACCAATAAACTGGTTTTGTATAACACAGTGTACGCAACTGGAAAGTATCTACAGTCTTTTCTTGCACGCGCCATCTGCTTTTGTTCGACTCCAATGACCGGTATTCATAGTCCGATCTTATATTTAATAGCGAATTCGGTTGCTTGCACTAGTGTGCACTGAGTACGCACTAAGGCTTATTCATAGTATGTTATTATATTTAAAGATTGTCTTAAATAATTCTCAAATATTTTTAACCATAATATGATATGTATAACATCCGTACGAATCATTTTATTAGTTAAAATGTTTTTAAATATGTATTTAAAACACGATCTTAAATATAAGAATGTACTGTAAACAAGCCTTAATGCGCACTAGTGCAAGCTACCGAATTCGCTATAAGATTATCTTAAGTACTGTCTTAAGATATCATGAACCAATCACAAAGAAAGATGAAAGAGAAGTGTAGCCAGAAATCAAGATTCTTGAAAATATATCGCAAACGATATTTAGTGAAGTTATAATATATGTAACATGAATTATAGCTTTTTATGAAATATCGTATACATTTTCAAGAATTATGACCCAGTTCAATAATAGAAAACAGACTCTATTAGTTAACTTATCAGGAAGTTAGAGTTTGGTATACGATAAACATTGAAATCGTATTAATAGTGTTTTATTTCAATGTCAGAGCGAAGAAATGCATACTTTCGACAGTTTTTTAATCAAATAATCCGAATCCCATATCATCGTCAGATTCTTCAGACTCTTCTTTCTTTTCTTCCTTCTTCTCTGCAACAGGAGCGTCGGTAGCTGCAGTTGATGGAGCCGCTACGGCAGCAGTAGCAAACTTACTCGGATCCTGCAATTAAAGGGCAATTTCATTATTCTATGTTGACGTAGATTTTTGACTAGCCAATTCTACCATATTTGGTTCAGACGGCGTTATTACGCAATATTTCAACCAAGATCTTGACGTGTTAGTGGGTTCTGCTATTTCTAGCGCTAACACGTGGATCAAGATCTTCAGACGTGTAATGTTTTCATCATTATGTATATTTAAAGTTGTGGGTTCCACTATGTATATTTAATGTATATGTGTGTATGCATATGCATATATATACATATACACAGTGTTAATTACATCATGTAATATTTTTTGATAAAAAAATAATCAAGCACAAAGATTTATCTCACTTTTAACTGTTTATATTTTAAAAGATCCAAGATTTCTAAGCCAAAATTGAAGAATCAATTTCTTTAAAAAAATATGTGTACTTTTGTATAAAATCATACCTTGATATACTCCTTGATAGTAGCAGCTTCTGCAAACTCAACGTCAGTAACAGCAGCAATGGCCAACAGATTCTTGAAGCCATTAGCAACACTGTGCGGTGCGCTAGCGATTGTGGGATAACCAATTGCCAAACAAATTGAGGCTACATTCGCAACCCCAGTCAAAAATTTCTCGCGGAGATCCTCGGGTTTGATATCTAAAATCTCAGGGGCAAAAATGGTGCCAGAATCATATACTTGTTCAACAAGTAAACCATATGAGAAGGGAGAAATATTCAACATATTCAGAAGTGTAGCTTCTGAAGCTCCCACTTTATCGCCAGGTTTGAGAATGTGTACATCGTTCTGAAATATTACACCACATTTTTATATATGTAAGATAATGAATTTCAGAATCATTAAATTTGTGAATCTCTTAGTACTTACAATAATTTCAATAGTTCCCTTGGAAATCTTGGTTGGTATACTCAAAGCTTGGAAGAATGAAGTTTTTTCAGGGCCGAGTCCTGTATTCTGAGCTGGGATGATAACACTCAAGGGTGCAATGGCACCAGCTCTAGCAGGTGCTCGCACTTTATTTTCCAGTAGTTTGTCTCTTACTTCAATTAAATCTCCTCGGGTAAAAACAAATCCAACATTACCACGAATATGAGGTAGTAGTTTTTCTAACGCAGCATTGCGTTCAACATGACCACGAATGGCTTTTCTCATCATGGTGTTCTTGCCCATCAAAACTACTGCACTTCCACGCAATGACATACGTATTTGTTGCATCTGTTTGGAGCCAACATTGTCTGCTCCCACAATAAAGCATTTTGGATAATCATCCAATAGTTGCTGATATTAAAGAAAAGAATCATTAGTAAACACTGAAAGTAGTAAAAGTAAATGTAAATATAAATGTAAAAGAAAAATATTTACTACAAGCTTGGTGAAATAATTAGACTTCCATGTTGTTTTGTCCTCCCTACCCATCCTGAAGTGTATAGGGATACCTTGTAGGTATTTAAGGACTAAAAATAGCAAACTAATAATTAAAATATAACATTAAATACAGTAAAAATTGATATTGATAATTTCTTTCCATTAAATTACATTAAACATTTCCTATACATAAAATTCGAGTGTGAACAAATTATTTTCAGTTCTTTTAAATATTGCATATTTTTCAATACGTAGGTTATTTCTCATTATTTCAACTCATATTTATATAAATAATATAAGGCTATTTTTTTCAATTTATCTTGCAATGTGATTTTATAGCATGCGATTAACTTGCTCATCAAACCACGTGTTTTTATAACCTTTGAACTTTGTTTAAAAAATATTATATATTTCTTTATATCTAACTAGATATAATGAACATGCATAGTATTAAATTTAAAGCTGAAAACATCATAAGTACAGAAAATATACGTTAATACAAAAGTAGCATAAGAATGCAACACACTTACCTTACAACACACGTGGCAAAATGGCTGCGTAAGTAATAAAGACTAGAGAGCAATGTTGCGAGATTTTATCCACGTAGAGCCTTCTGCATGAACGATACGATATCCAATAGCAGACTGCCACGTCACTTTACGCATGCGTAGAAGGCTTCCTGTCGCAGAGAAAATCTTGCGAACTCGTAGCACTGGTTAGAATCTTTGTAGAGAGAGACGCTAACGAGGTCATGTGACCAGCTATTCTGCGATTGGTTGGCATCAATTATGGGTGCTTTCCAATTGCTTAACACATCTTGACACACAATACACAAAACCAGTTTATTGGTCACATATTATCTAAAATATCTTGTAAGATAATATGCAACCAATAAACTGGTTTTGTGTAACACAGTGTACGCAACTGGAAAGCATCCTATGGGCAGTATTTAGTCGAATCTTATTTTAAGATCATCTTAAGTAATATCTTAAGGTACAAATACGGCTCTGTGATTCATGATATCTTAAGACAATACTTAAGATGATCTTAAATGGGTGTATATCAGTTGGACACGGGGCAATTGGACACAGTCCAATCACAAGTCGCTGTTCCAAGGGACCCTACAAATGTCTCTAATCACACGGTGCTGTGATTGGCTGTGTCCAAATGCACCGTGTCCAAGTGCACCGCTCCCATCTTAAATATAAGATCGGACTATGAATACCATCCTATGTCATATGATTTGATTGGTCGCAATCAACGGAAAAAGCAACTCAGTGAGCGTTTAGTGATTATTGTCTGTGATTGGAGAACTCTTTTAGATTCTTTATAGACTCAGGAGTATTTACCAATCAAAAGCAATAATTGTTAAGCGGTCTTTGAACTGCTCCTTCCGCTAAAGGGTGCGTTCAGTGGAAAAAGCGCTTAGTGAGTAATCAGTGATTATTGGTTCTTACTCTTAGATCCAAAAATCTAGACCAATTACATTAACGAATTGCTCAACCGCTGTGCAACTGTTGAACGCAAAAAATTTGCTGAATTTGAAAGAATTTGCTAAACGCAAAAAAGAATAGTTTTCTAATGGAGAATTGAATTTTTTATTAGAAAGCTGTTCTCCTATTGGATATCGGACGTGGTGTCTCCTCCATAACGTAACTGGAAAGCACCCATCGTGTGCCATTGGTTGGTTATTCTTGATAAATTAACTGATAGTTAAATCATGTTTGTCTAATTGAAAGAAAAACAAAAATCATCTGTTCTCTACTATTTTCATATCGTTAGCAGCGACAGCCAGCTAATTATCCACTTTTCTTAATGCCAAAATATCTGTTATGAGTCGCCACTGTCTTTGAAAAACAGGTCGTAGTATGACTCAACGACAAATCAAACGTGTCTATTTTCAAAATTTACAATTCAGTTGCGAATTAGATCTTTTTATTCTCAATTAGACTGACTCAATGATAGAAAGGATTCGAGAGATAAAACTTATAAACATTAAATATGGCTTTTCTGAATTCAAACGCAATGGCAAATAAAATGTCTCATAGTTTTTAATAAGCAATTATCATGTAACAAACGATTTTATTTTACGTTTGAATAAGCATGAAGGCTGCTACCCGAAAGCGGTAGGAATCCCTTCTGTAACTTGTAAAACATTCTTAGTTTTGTAATATTTTTATCGCTTTTTATTCGGTGTTTACATTTATAATTCAAGCTATGAATAACTAAAAATTTAAAATCTACTTTCCTGGGTTTCACAAATTACATGGTCTTATTTGGCATTCAGTTTAATTATGTTCTTGCGTTTAACAAATATACTCAAATACATTTACATCTCCTTAAATTATTTCATTCATTGATCAAATTTACTGTTCAAAAAGCAATCACATTTTTAAGATTTTGTAGGTTGTATTAAATTTGAGGCTTTCACGGCCATTGATTTTGTAGGTTGTCTTTAGCAGTATCAACTAAATGATATTTATGAAACAATAAATATAAAATATACGCTAGTACATTTACAAATGCATATTTAATCATGCAAATTGTAGCATATTATACTTTCTATAACACACTTAACATTATTACAACTTTAATTTTACGTAGTATTTATTTGCAGTTGCATGAATAAATTTGAATAACTTGTTATATGCAAACATTATAAACTGCTCTTTCCTGTTTACTCAATATATTGTTTATATATATTTATAAGCTGATTACATCTTCTTTTACGGAAAAACTGACTTCGTTTCTTCTTTGAAAAGAAGGCGCATTAATATGTGCATGAAGCCAAATAAAATTTTGTTTATATTCAAAGAATTGTTCCTATGTATTATTTTTGTGTGAAACAATACTATTTAAGTAGGTAATCTTGCTTAAAAATATAATATATTTAAACAATCGTGTGACAGAGTGGTTTACTTGTGCTTTTGTACTGTATCTTTAAGTTTATCATAATTTGCACCAGAAAAGGCCTCCAGCTGGAAAAAAGGAAATTTATTTACAACTGTATCTACTTCTGTAGCCACTTCTATCATTAATGGGAAAACATCTAATATTTAATTGATTTCACTTATTGAATTAATTCAAGTTTTGATACATACCACCTTGCTGTTTCTTATAAAAACAAATGTGGGCATACTGGTTATGTCATATTCTGTAGCAATATCTTCACACTCATCCACATCGACTTTGAGGAAGATAACATCCTGTAGTTCCTATATTGTACATGCAAATACATTAATATCAATAATATAACATACAATTCAATTTAATACAGCAATCATGTAATATAATACAGCAATAAATAAGTGGTATGATAAAACACCTTTGCTAGTTCTTCTATTTTTGGACTGATCATCTTGCATGGTCCACACCAAACAGCAAAGAAGTCAATTACCACCAACTTTTCAGCTGCTTCCTGAAGCTTGGTGGTCAAGTCTTCCTGTAAAAATAGATTATGTTGATGATGCACAAGTCCTTGATAGAGCATTTATGTTTGTTCAGTATCAGCTGTTACAACATGTACTAATGTTAAGTAAATGGAGCAGGAAAATGCAAAGATCTGACGGTTATTACTGATAAGATATGACAGCAACCAGGCCAAAGGTACAAAATTAATTCGCTTAAATAGCATTGTACCTAAGAATTTACAAGTCCATCATCTCTATGTGAACAACCTCAGTTTTTAACAGTCTAGAGTCACTCTAATCAAAGTTTAGCCATAACGCGCAGTTTCGTCAAAATCCTGCGAGAGAGACATATTTCCAATCTCTCTTCTTGTCTATCTTTTCTTAACCTAACCTAACCTACTGCCATAAGTGTACATTGGATATAAGTTAACGGCATAAGTTAATGGATTACGACCTATAAACCGGCCTTGACTCTACAACAGTCTTCAACAGTGGAGACAAGTTTTCAATTACCAAAATTGCCTTAACAAAATTGCAATTGCTTCATGATAAAAATATTCCTTGAACAATTTTGTTCCTTATTCGCAAACAGTTTAATTAATCCATCTAATTAATGTATATAATATTCACAAGTGAAATGAGCAGAGAAACGCGAGCGTTTGCTTTAGTCTTTTGACTAAGACTGGTTTATGATAGCCATAATCCATTAACTTATGCCGGAACCGTAAAAAATTGACCAATCATAGTCGAATTATAGAAGAATAATTGACTGTGATTGGTCAATTTTTAAGGTTCCAGCATGTGACGGATTGCGGCCATCATAAACCGGCCTTTAGGCGACAATTTCCCGAAAAGTGGGGGAGGATAACGTTGGTACCAAGGAAAATCTCTATACGATATAATTTAAAGGTCTGTTCTTTGCTGAGCATGCACTGCACTGCTGAAATAATGCAAAAGATTGAGTGAGATAACATATACTTGTCTTACTTCAATTTATTGCACCAGTTCAGCAGCGCAGTTACAATGAACAGGTCTTTAAATTATATCGTGTAGAGATTTTCCTTGGTACCATTATCCCCTTCACCTTTTAGGAAATTGTCGCTTAACAGTTTTTTTTTTTCATTACAGGCACGATGTATGTAGAACGTAAATTAACGAAATGAAACAGAGCCACGATCGATCGATCCCTTGGCGCGAACGTTTCGCGTGGCTGTGCGAATTCGTTCGACCAGACCGTGGCGACTCATCGCGCCCGTTATTGCGTTCAATTGTCTCTCGCCGCTGAAAAAGCATCCGCATGCATATACGTCATTCTCCCGGTTTCAGCGACGATTCGATCGGGCCCGCGCGCGGCAGGATGGCAGTGTTGTAATCGAAATTGTTTACGATTGACGTAATACTCGCGGTGAGTCGTGTGTTGCGGCATTCGCGCTCGGACAGCATTGAGCGAAAGGAACGCAGGCGGAATCGATGCCTCCAAGGTCGGGGGCGACTTCGCAAAAAGTATGACGCGGCGACGACTCACGCGGGTACGCCGCCAGTGTTGCCAGACTGACATAACCGCGTTACGCGCTATTCCGCTATATCTCATCAAAAGATATGACGCAAAGTACCCTTTTGCGCCATGATACTTCATTTATTAAAACTGAGTCGCATTACGCGAGCGTAAATCGATATCGTCGCGTGATACGAGTATCTCGCCTAGCCTACTGTGTGTAACACATTCTTTCTCTCTTTAGGTCTGCTCTTTTTAGCTGAACTAGATTGCACTTTTTGCCTCTGGAGTGAAATATATATAATTCGTAGCATTGAGAAGAAAAGGAACAAAGTTTTACAGTGCAGCACCAGTTCAGCCAAATCCAATGAACTCTATACATACTGGAGTAAGCCTTTATATATTGGTGGCAAGGTTGTTTGGTGGTTGTCTCACTTTATACTTAATCAATCAGTTTGGTGGTAACGCTCTCACTTTATACATAACCTCAGATAAAGACAGCCTTACCACCAAACCTATAATGGTTCACTCCAGTATGTATAAAGCTCACTGGCTAATGCATTTACAATGGCAGTAGTAGTAGTAAGAAATAATCAGTAAGCCAATTCCATTGACCAATTCCATTCTAAAGCGTCGTCTACAAAAGTAAGAAAGCTGTAAGAATTGGCCAATCGTAGTCGATTATAAAAATAATCGTTTATGATTGGTTAATTCTTAAGGTTTACTTCTGTAGACGCATATTGTAGACGACGCTTCACGATTCAAGAATAATCGATCATGATTGGTCTATTTGCTTACTGCTTATTTCTTACTACACTCCTACTACCATTGTAAACGACGCACAAATCGAACAGACCTGCCTTTTCTTTTCTTCCTTCCCTTTTCATTCTCTCCTTCTACTGCAGGGACTACATCCTCTGCACGTTCGTCAACAATTATATTTCGACACATTTGTTCCGATAATGCATATCGCTATCTGGCCGCAATCAGGTTGGCGCCACTCGTTGATCCTGCGACATCTGGCAACGTCGCATCGCGGGACACGAGTCGGAATGTGATACGCTCGCGGCTCTAACACCCAAGGTTATCTCACTTCCTAGCCCGGATCTGCAGCGTTTCTTGTTTCCTGCCTCTTTCCGGCTCAAACCGGAGAAAATTAGAGAACAAGAAACTGAGAACGCATTGTAGATCAGGCTTTACAGAGTTTCACGCTCCGCCGACGTGAAAACGCGAACACGCCCTGTGCGCGCTCGTCTCTCGCCGTTTCATCGGTTACTTACAGCGTTCTGAACGTGATAGACTTCCGCTTCGTGAACCATTTCGACGCGTTGAGGTCGGCAGGCTGCCTCTCACTGGTGAATAATTAAACGGAGATCCCGGCAACTGCGAGCAAACGCCACGGAAACTCGACAGTGACTAACCGCCTGTGCGACCAACCGGCGCGCGCGACCGCTCTCGTTCAGCGCGCACCAATGACGCGCAGCGCAGCAATGGCGGGAGTGGCGACGGACGGGCGATGTCGTCCACTTGGCCGCAAATCGTCGGATGAGAGTCGAGGAGCAGCTGTGCGAGTTTGCCTGACGTTTCTCGCCTCTCGGCTCTCTTCTCGGCGCTCCTCTCCGTAGCGCAATGTGTCGCAATATAAGGAAAACAGTGCGTGAGTATGCGATATACGTCGCGCTCTCTTCCAGTGACGTTCTTTCCGCGGCAGCGATTCTCACTCGCGCCGCCGGACGGTCGCCCCGTTTTTGTCGCGTTGTTTCTCTCCGAGAGAAAACCGACTCCTCTTCGGTTAATTTGGAGTAGATTTTGCCGCAAGGTCACTTTGACCGCCTGCCAACGACATGAAGAGCACGACGGTGATGCTCGTCACGCCTTACGCGACCGATCGATATATATTTTAACGATTGTGAAGTCTCGTCCGAGGCGCCGGCGAAAATGTCGAGAATTTCTTTTCTTCTCGCGATCCTTCGTCTAGAATATTTCCTATGTCTACTGGTTAGTTCTCGTTTATCACTTGACAGTGTTGACATTTGCAGTTGTTATCAGATGTGTCGATATCTAGCCGGTCTCTAGAGAACGATGTAAGTATAGAAAATTACAGAAACGGAAGCCGTAAAATAGTGCGATTTGAGAAACGCTGAATTACGTCGGCAGTTAATTGGCATTGGATTCCAAGAATCCATCGTTAATTCAGTGGTTTTTGCGAAGGAACTGACGATACGTCAATGGATAATTAAATAACATTCAATTTTGATCTATATTCAAATCAACATTAATGTTATGTTGATACAATTATGTTATAATTATGTTTGAAATCTTTCAGTCACACAACACACACAAAAGTGGTTCAATTTAATTCTTTTGTTCTGAAATATTCATAAAATTTGCGAATCATTTATTGCTATATTTTTGTACTTTCGTTTAAATAAACTCTAGTAAAATGATATTAAAATCTCTCTCAAATGTTTTTCCTGCTAAGTTAATCTATTATGCAGCCTATTTAAATTATGTAAAAAGTCATTATCAGGATTTTCAAGTGCAATCTTAGAAACCTGTTTGCCACATTTCTAACCAATTTTTCAAGAAATGCTTTAACAAAAATACTGTTTAATTAAACAGAAAAAGATAATTTTTTTCATATGTTTAATTTATGTAAAAGTTGCGTTTGCCTTACGAGTGCTAACTTCATACGAAATAACAGACGTAGCTTAGTTATAATAACCAATTGATACAAAATAATAATTATAAAAATGTAGGAGAGAGAACACGTTTCAAAATTAAACTTATTAATATCAATGTTATATCGACACGAGAGTGTTAGTAGCTCCTTTACACATATAATTACTCTTTAATTTAGATGTATTCAGAGAATGAAGAGAATGTAGAGAATGAAGTGTATGTATGTGTGTGTGTGTGTGTGTGTGTATGTATATATATATATATAACAGCCAATGTGTGATTGCATAAAGTACAATACAATGATAATGTACATAATACATTTTTGATGTGCTTTATTCTTTGCAGAATATCTCGTATTACTTATGCAGCTTTGCGCCGCTCTATAAAACTCTGTAATCATTCTATAGTATATATATATAAGCAGACACTATATCGTAACTGATTATCTTAAAATATACCGTTTTCACTATCTATGTTAAGAAGATGTATGTGACAAAACGTCTGCGTATCGTTAGAATTGATTTACTCGGGAAAGTGACTTGAAAATCCGTCCTCCTCGCTTATAGTCGAAACACAAACGTGTAATTTGACACATATCGTATCGTCACGCTACCAAACTAAATCGATTATATCGAAATATACTTATGCAGAACGTTCGACACGCGCTTCTTTGAAGAAGATGCGAATTCTTTGACCAATTTCCAATCTACGTTTCTTTCACGAAAGTGCCGGAGCACCGACGGTGCTTTTGCGAAAGTGCACTTTTGCGGCGTACAAGTCAGCCGGCAACGAGACATTATCGCGAAGGTTTTCGCCGAGAGAAAGTCGACGTCGAATTCGCCAAAGAATCTGCGGCTGAAAGAAGCCGCGATTGATCTCTCTCGGTCTGTCCCAGACGCGCGCGCGTCACATGTAAAACACAGTTCGACACGATAAACGCATACTTCACCACACAGTTAAAAGTACAATTGAGAGCTTTTGCCTTTATTTGTCCAGTGATAAAAGATAAAATCGAGATATTCGACCGTGTAATAATAGGTACACTCTTCCGTCCTTAATTATACACAACCATTTTCGTTTGCACATTTATCTATGAAAAAATTAAAAATTTCGGAAGCTATTATATTATTGCTTTCTCTCTCTCTCTCTCTTTCTCTCTCTCTCTCTCTCTCTCTCTATCTCTCTCTCTCAGAGTATTGTACAACGGCAGATATACAAATACTTATGACAAACGGACAATTCAACATTCAACGTTACAATACGTGGGTTCGTAGTACCTAGAGCTGAAGTTCAACGTGTGTTCGGGCTAACGTAAGAATGCGTATAAGATCAAATCAAATGTGTACGTGCGAGTGAATTTTGAAGGATACTTATAAAGGGGTGGTCTCTGCTGAAATTGTCACTATACAGTTTCGCTACATCCAGGGACTATCGGAATCCGTCGCGTCACGAGTGAAATAACGTTCCGAGTTCTCACGCGCGCGAGATTTGTCAATTTTCGATCGGATCGTAAAGTGCTAAGGCACCAGAGGTAAATCTTGCTAAATGCAAATGATAATAGTGACTGACATTACGTTACTTCCTGTTAACATTAGGATCATCAACTACAGAAGTTTTCTTTGCATGTAAATGTGTTTAATAGTTGTACATGTTGCAAAGGTATTATTATTCTTTTCTTCTTTTTTTTTGTTTGTACAAGTTTACATATATAGGTATATCCTACATCTCTCGATATTCTCAGACTTCTCGTTTACTTCGGACAGTAAAATAAATTGAACCTTTTTTTCCTCTCCTCCAACATACTCATCCCGTTAATTGCCATTGCGTTCTAAGTATATATATCTTCACCAGAATTGTATTCCTTGTTCCGATTTTTTTCTTCTGCGTGTAATCTTTGTAATTGAGAAACTAGCTTTACACGGGCGAGAGTGCAGACAACAATCAAAAAAAAAAAAAGCGAATCTAATAATTTTCTTGAATATTGTGTGTATCGTCGCTACACCGATCTCTTCACTCTACTAATACTGTGTAATGCAACTAGCGTATTTGCCATTTGTCAAGTTACAAGTGACGGAAAAGAGACAGTACATTGCGTCCTTCATTGCATCGATTCATGGCAGTTAATAAGACGAGTACAACATTCGTAATTCTCCAACATTACCTATGTATGTTTTTGTCATTTCACAGATTGTTTAATTACACATAAATAAGTTAAATTCCACTTAAAAACATTTTCGTTATTCACGTTAAATGCTTGACTGAAAAAAATTATATAGCCTAATAATAATATAATTATAATAAAAAATAATATTAATAACAATAATAATAGGGTGGTGCGGGGCGGTTTGTCAGTATAAAGATCTGCCGGCGGCAGTCGCGAGGATACTACACGAATGGTGAGATTTGCTTGCGCAATTTGCACGATCTACAAAATTTTCGTGTCTCATTTTTTTTTTTGAGCTCGATTTCACTATTCGTACAGTTCCCTAACAGACGCCTAAAAAACAAAGCCAAACATAATATATATAATCGCGAATCGCAGTAACTTCTGTATTTAAATGTTCCCTTCATTGTGTGTAGTATTTTTAAAAATCGTGGATTTGTCGCGCATATCTGTAAAGAATAGCTATAATCGAGGAAACGAGTACGTACCAAGTAACATCGATACCACCTGAAAGCCGTTGGAACAAAATCCAATCAAGAGATGAAAGGTATTCGGAATTACTATGAGTACTTTGAAACGTAAAGCGAATATATACGAATATATATACATGTATATATATATAAAATATATAGATTTTCGTACATAATACAGATATGCATCTGTACCTCTTGGAAGAAAAAGGATTATAATTCTACTTATCTACTTTTTCAATGTACAGTTTTTTATACAAGTCTTAGAATTTGTAGATATTTCAGAATTTCTAAAAGTTTTCCCTAAGTTCAATCATAAATTTCGTTCTTTATATATAATCATAAAATGTTATTTAAAATACTAGTTAATCAATTCGTAGTATATATGTTACACGCACATACACATACATACATACAGGTCCTGAAAGATTTACAAATTTGAAGACTTGTACAACCGCAAATGAAAAAGACATGAGTAATTAGACCTTTTTCCTTGCTCTCAAGATACAGATATATAACTTGTGCATGTGTGTATATGTGTTGTCTATAATTTATCATTTCGTAATAAAATCGGAAAGTTTAGTTGGGAAAAAGGCCGATATTCTCTTTTGTACTTTTTTATATTCAATATTCGTAAAATGTTTCAAGTGAATAGTAAAGAATGAGAACATTCAAAGCAGCATTCGAAGTCCCAAGACTAGAAATCGCAGAATAATTTGTAGAAAACTACTGGTTGTAGGTGCGGAACGCATTGCTAATCATACAGTGTCAACGATCGAGAAAGTGAATTTATAAAGTCAAAAAACGGTGACAACACTGAGAAACAATCGACTGATATAAATTCCCGTCGGGAGGTCGCAGCCGGGATTTCACAGCGTTAAAGATAATATTGGTCTTAAAAGTTTTACTCGCTACTTTATAAATGTTTTAACAATACGGGTAGAGAGAACACGTGGCTCTGAAATTCGTTCATTCCTTTAAATCTAACGTAGTGTGATTTGTCGCTGCTTGTGATATTGGAATTACCCCAAGCAGCAAGAAAATTGTTATTTCTTTGTCGAATATGTTTTGGTATTTTCGTTCAACGCGCCAGAATCAATAATCTCTTGTGAAATCGCGATATATATTTGCGACTAGATACTGTTACGCTTCATAATACTCATAATATTGCAAATTTCGAACACGCTGCGGATGGTATCGATAAAACTCGGAGCGCACTCGATTCCCCATTTCTAGAAATCTTCTCGACAATATATATAGACTGGATAATTTTGTTCGTGCGAATCACACGACTACAAATTTAACTAAAAACTGATGTAATTTTTTCTTTTCTATATAAATGCCTGAACAAATAAAAGGATTTCACGCATTTACAGATATCGCTCTTTAAACTCTGTAGTTTGTTACGCTGTATTGAGAACGCAGCGAAATTTTTATTTCTGCACTGAATATTTTCGAATTTTCGCCCAGCCCGCGCCAAGAATTCCAGTAATCCCTTACGAGATTACGATACATACTTGAAAATTTACAGTCTCTTAAGAAAGGACGAAAACTGCAAAACATAACACATTAAAATAATGTATATGTCACTAGACGAGATGAACAATTCCGAATAAAAACTGTAGACCCGAGACTGTTGTATCTTTTTACAGTGCTTACTAGTACAATTAGAGTCAAATCTGACAAAATTTCCGTCAAAACGTAATATCTCTACGATACTGTTCCAAGATTATTATGTGGATTCGTTCCATGCACAATACGTCGCCGTTTGTTGGATATAATTTTATCTTTAGACACCAATTCTCTAAGACGGAATTTTCTTCATTTTCTCTACTCTGCCGTATAACATTACTTTATTATATTATACCGTATTATACCGTATTCTCGATTATTAGTTTTCGCAATTAAATCACTCAACGTTTTCAATCGAGATAACACAACGAATTCCATGATGTATATAAAATCCGTAAGATAATATGAAACAGAAAGTATATATGCACAAATGTGAAAATTACACTCGATGGTTGGCTTCGGTTTTTAATAGTTAGCAGTTGTTGCTAACATATACGTCCCTCCTATTATCTCCGTACGCGTTGGATGGTGGCTAAGAGCGACAGTAGTGAGGTATAGAAGGGCAACTGCAGAAGGCAGAAAAATGTCAGTATGACAATCAACACGACAGTCTTTTGAACACCATGAGGTCATGGGAACACTGATGCGCTGTAGTTCGCTACGATACCATCGCGCGCCAGATGTCAATATTTGAAGGGGGGGCTTCTAGCGCTGAAAACGACGACAAAGTATGTGAGAAGGGAGCAATTTTATATATACGCTCATTCCTCTCTTAAATGAGCAACATTTTATTCGAGACAACTACGACACTTGCAGCATCTTATCTTGTGCAAACGCTCACCAGCCTTATCGTAATCGGATCCTTCTGGACAAGCCGATCTTGGGCCCCATATCCTTACTGAACAGTCATCCGATACGGAAGCCATCATTTGGTGATAAACGGGATTCCACGAGACACAATTGACTGTTCTACTGTGTCCTATGAGAGTCGCTATAGGTTGTTCTCTTTTGATATGCCACACGTATACTTTATTGTCTGCGATGAAATGAAAAAAAGTATTATTTCATACGAAACCGAATAACAAAAATATATAACGTGCAACAATGCATCCTTTCGTCGTGCACATAACAAACCTTCACTGCCAGACGCAATGAAATCTTGATTGACTCCGCCAAAACAACTGTGAATAGTAAAGTGTCCTTGGGTGACTCCTTGAAAACGTCTCACGAGGCATCTATCATGCAAGTCCCAAAGGTGCACACCTTGATTCGCAACATTAAGTAATGCGAGTCGATCTGTTTTGTTTACACTAAATGACATGACGGGGTGATCCTCTTGTAATCTACAACACATAGTGCGGAACGACCTCGTTAAAAATTTTGCCAGACAAAGTATTCGGGTGTAACAACTCGCATTACAAGCCATCACAAAGAACGTACATTGTAAAATCGCACAAATCGTCGAAGTTATATCCGCGAATTCGATGATGCGAATCTGCCGCTAAAACGGTCTTGCCGTCGTTCCGACACCACAGGCATTTTACTCTTATTCCTTCCCACGTCTCGGAAACATTGCCGTCCATATCCTAAAAATTATCAAATTTTCATTATGACCGAATACTTCAAATGGTATATTTGACATTATTCAACGAACTTTCGATTAACAATAACATAAACTTTTTTACATGTCCTATTAATATCATACGTTATGATTAATTTCTAAAGATTCACACGTACACATTGGTAAAATTGACCACGAAGACCTCCCGCAACAAATTTGTTTGAATCACGATGCCATGCGCAGGCCGTCAATGAGTCATCCGTGCTCTGAGTTAATTTCACACGTAATTCGCAATCAGGCGAGTCGATATTCCAGAGCCATAATTCGGGACAATCTTCAGGACCACAAGCAATCAGGTGAGTGCTGTCAGGACTCCAAGCAATTAGCGCTACTCCATACGTATGTCCTTCGAGTGTTTTTCTATGCGTTACTTTCAGCGTTTCCTACGTTCGAATATTCGAATGAATGTTCACCGAGATATTTACCCGAAAAAAATAATATCTTGCATTTGTGCCTCGGAAAAGAAAAAAAAACATTTTCTTCAGTTATCTTTCAGTTTTCAACTTATCTTTCAAAATTTTCTAAACGCAATTATTAATTCCATTTCCTAATAGATAACATATTAATCAATGTCAATATAGTTGACATAGTATATGTTAGTCTGAAGCGTTTAGAAATTTTGAAACTTTTATAAATGAAAAAATCGAAGAAATGTACATTGATATTTTTCTTCCAAGGTATATGTTTTATCGATGATTTTCAGTACGACGTATCGATATACTCACTGGATCTACGTCCCATATAATTACAGTCATATCCTTAGAACCTGTGGCGAGTTTGAGACCATCGGGTGAGAATTTACAATACCAAACTTCGTCGCAATGGTCATTGAGTATCTGTATGGTATGGCACGGAAACTCTTCCTTGCTACAGCTGTGATCCACAAGCAGAGAGACATTTTCTAGATTCGTCTGCTTTGGGGGAAAAATTCTCGATAATTTCAACAGTGCGCAGATTCATCTTACTAAAAATCTATCTTTCTTTAAGTATTTTACTTTTTCTATCACTAAGTATTTTATCTGCGCACACACGCGCGCGCGCGTATGTGTGTGTGCGTGCGTGCGTGTCGCAGTACTACGATATTGTAAAGAAAGAAAAGAAGGTGAAGTGACAATTTATACAAACTGTGATGTGACTCATCGATGTACCTGTGTATGCGTTATATGATACGTGCATTGTTGATTTTGCATTTCCACAGCTTGACAAAGTAAAGAGTGAAGTCTGCGCGGTGGTAACATAATAGAGGGTGGCAGATATTTTTGCAGTCTATCCATAAGCGCAGCTCTGGAGGCTGGTCCCTTGCCATCCCAGCCTGCACGTGTCTGTCGAAACACACATTTATTTGTTGAAACCATTGAATTTTCACGGTCTTGTAAAATGATTTTAAAGACATCTCAGAGACAATTCTTGAAAAATCGATTTTTGTGGAAATTTGTTATCTAAAGTAACCTGTAATTCATCTCGTCCACTGCACATCATGAACGCGGACAATTGATGAACACGGCCGGTATTATGGCCTAAAGGGGTAAGCTCGTTACGCAATACTTGTAATGCTTCCAGTACTTTGCCCTCTTCCAAGAATTCCAAATATTTCTGTTCCAATAATAAGAACTTCATCTCCTGCGAGTGTGAAGAAACATCGATGAAATTAAGTATCTCACTGTGTTGCGTGGAATTATGCGGGAATAAACGACTCACCACTAAACTTTGATTTGCACTGTTTAGAAAAGACTTGAGTTCATTGAGGTCGTGATCCGCTTTGCTCCAGTCGCCATCCATAACATGCTGCCTGAACTTCGCCGCGGCAGGATGGTCCAGTCGACATCCTGATTCTTGCATAAGCAAATCCGCAGTACGACTGAAAGTGGTATTCCTGCCATTATATTGCTGTTAATTGCAGAATGTTACACAACCCATAATCTTATTAGGAGTTTGCACAGTTCTTCAAGAATTTATGTTAAATTTATCGTTGAGGCAATAACAAATATCGCAACAAATGTGTCGATGTTTCTGTGTCAATTCATACGTCTTGGCGCATATTTGTTACATGTTTTTTTATTATTGAAGTATTTTTGAAATTTTACAGTTAGTTGTAATATCGTTCAAACCTAAACTAAATACGTAAAAACTCAAAATTTAAATTCACTGAAAAGTATTTTCAATGCCGTCTGCCACTTTTACATTGCCTGTTATAAAGTAAATATAACTGGTAGATGTATATATGCATTTCAAAGTTCTATAATTAGCTTTCTCCCACCATGTGGGATCAGATCCAGATAGTTTGATATAATCCTCTTGATATATATGTGTGAATAAAGGCAATAAAGAATGTGACTGTGAAATTCCAATTGGCAATAAAGGGATGACTACGATAATAAAGAAAAATGACCTACTCTATCCTCCTCCTATCTCCATAGCCTACCAAGATTAGAACGCATATGCAAACTGCAACAATATTACAAAGTCATACTTAGTTGCTATTATATGTGTGTATATAAATATATATATATAATAATCATTAATAATAATTAGTAATTATTATGTATATATTTATGCTAAGTATGATAATCATTATAATAGTAGCTATCAGTAATAATTTACGTATGTGTTCTAATACTGCTACACTATGGAAATAGTAGGTTACCTTTCATTGCTAAATAAGATCGTTTAGTTAGCGTGTCAAGGTAGTGAAAAATTCTAAACAATTTTACATACTCTAAGCCAACTGTCTTCAAGTGTTGTCCGATGAGTCTCACAATGTCCTGATTAGTTTTGTCCATTATCTTTGGAGGTCCTGAACTTGGATTTGCTTCTCCGTTCACACCACTGACATCATTATCTGTGTCTGCTAACAGATTGCCATTAGCAATCTGTGATCCACCAGAGTCTGCTGTATCTCCATTCTGTTGCAGTCCAGAGGATACACCACTGTTTGCGGCTTGCTGCTGCATTAAGCTGTAGCGCATACTGGAATATTATCCATGATGGCAATACTGACAATGCCACAATACTAACACAATGACACATATTAATTGGCATAGCCTATTCTCAGCAGAAATGTTTGCTTGCCGTAACCTTTAAAAGTCTTGAACTGTTGCTGCATATTAGATGGAGAAAGTGGGAGAATGCAGAAAATGGTAGGAGAAATTGACAGGGGGGCAAGGAGGAGGGAGTGGGATAGAAAAGAGAGAGTCACGGGAGCTAAATAAACAAGAAAATCGCGTGAAGGACACAACATACGCGGAACAAAATCGGCGAATCGGAGATTTCAGAAATCTCTTTATGGTCGTAGAGAAAGATACAAAGATGACGATGCGTATTATAAAAAATCAAAATTCTGTCACTGTCAATGTGCACTCGCGTATTAAAAAGTCGCGTGTTCTAAGGGAGCTCGAAAGAAAACGAGAGAGAGAGAGAGAGAGAGAGAGAGAGAGAGAGAGACAGAGAAAATGAGACAGAGAGAAAGACAGAGGCTGTAAGCAAGAGATGAAAGAGTGAGAGAGACAGAAAGCAGGTGGCGACAGAGAGAAAGAGAGAGAAAGGAAGGGAGGGAGAAAGACAGAGAGAGAGAGCTACGACGCGTTACCGATAATTATCCATGTCCAGGCTGGAGGAAGAGTGGTTCTCGTCCGCTGGTGATACGCTAGCCGGCTGAGAACTACTACGGGACCTTTTGCACGGTGGCGGAGCGAGTCCACCGTCGTCCGACTCGCCGCTCGAGGCCAGGCTTATGCGCGTACCGCCCCGTTTTTCACACGATTATTGTCTCCCGTGGGTGGTTATCGTCGGTGGTCAGCGGCCGGGGCTGGGGTTGGGAGTCTCCGGAGCACGCACGCAGCCACGATTGCGTCAGGAAAACGGAAAGGTCCTGTCCTCGTCGCGTCCTGGCCTGGCCTGGCCTCCCCTCTTTTTTTTTCTTCTCCTCGCCACTTGCCGTGGCCGGAACGGCTAAAAGCGCTCGCACGACTCGTCGTGTGTCCCGTGCTGCTCGCTCGTCACCACCGCTGTCTTCCCGATGTCGTTCCACCCGATCGAAGATAACACGAAGCGCGCAGAGAAGCGAAGCCGTTCGTACGCCTACCGAAACGGATGGCGAGCCAGGGAACAATGACTGCAACACAGCTGATACTTGTTTGGATCGTCGTTTACGTCACGCACGTACTCTCCTTTGCGGATAGGCCAGCTCGCGACCGTGGCGCCGCCTACGTTCACGCGTTGCGCGCGCCGCCGAACTACTCGGTCGGTCATTTCGCCACAGTTGCTCTCGGCGCGCCGCTCGCCGCGCCGCTCGCCGCGCCGCTCTCTCTGTTCTTCTTCACCCGACCATTCGCCGCGTGATGTCGCTGACAGGACGACCGCGACACTCGCCGTTCGTCAAGGACATGTAGCACGGTCGGCATTTTTTCTCTTCCGTCTCGTCTCGTCGTAACATTCACGCGACATTAGTCATTCTAACGTGCCGGAAAACGCGAGTTCACCGAGACGTCGCGAAGTGTATTGGTGGTTTGAGTATCTTCCCCGGCAGAACAAGTGTAAGTGTAAAATCATTGAATATACACATTTGCGATCTGTTGGCATGGCTCCGTTTGAGAAATGTTTCGTGTCGTTCGCAACACTCGACCGATGTGTTGATAGAAAGAGACTGGAATTAATCTAATATCGGCGCAAAGTCTCAATGAATCGGCTCGCCAAAAGGCGGCGAATTGGTCTTGAAATAAGAATGGCGCTGACGTCGAGCTTACGTTTTCACTACGGTGTGCTTTTAAACGATCGTCGAAATACTTTTCGCATTATGACAGAAAAAGGTGCGCGATAACATAATTTGTCGGAATAATTTGAACATTTTTCTCTCTCTTTCTCTCTCGAGCGTTCGGCGCACTTCGAAATGCGGGATATTCAATCGGGTGTGCGAGTTACGCTCAACGGAATCGACGGTACAGCGCGATAGAAACTCGCTACGGACGTATCGATACTATCGATCGCTTCGAGAATCGCAATCTTCGCAAGATGGGCGACTTGTACGAGCGGTTGCCGCGCGATTTTGGCGAGTCGAGGACGAGTGTTGCTCGTGAATTCATCGCCGGGTGTCTCGTCGTGAGTTACGCGTATCCATGGTAGTGAGAGTGTCGTTGAATAAACGGTCGAACAGTGAATATCGCGCGTTAACGATTCGTCGGGAGTGCCGAGTAGAAGTGTCGCGCGTTCGTGGCGATTTTTGAGGTTCGAGTCGTTACTCTCCTTGGACAGAAGAAGAAAAAGTCACGACGCAGTCTTCGTCCACGAGAGTCTTCTCGCAGCGGCCGAGTATTGTCAAACAGCCGTGGAGAGTGAAATTCCGGTGGAACCAGCAGTCGGGATTGCACCAAGCACAAAGTGTCGCGCGCATCCGTTGCATAATGACAGTTCGAAGTTGAAACTCGCGGCTGCGTTCTACACTTGCGATCTTCTGAAGGAGAAGTGGGTGAGTACAAACAACGAATTCTCTACGATTATGAGAGCTGTATTTTGTATTGTAACATTGGACGTTTTGTTAGGAATTTACGCATTCTTAAGAGGACACTCGACTTTCCGTGTAATAACACGACCGTTATCTAGTTTCCGAAAACATTGTCTCGTGGAAGTTATAACTTCCACGAGACAATGTTTTCGGAAACTAGATAACGGTCGTGTTATTACACGGAAAGTCGAGTGTTCTCTTCATAATGCGTAAATTCCTGACAAAACGTCTAAATATATTTGCACTCGCATATATTTGAAATTTATTATGTGCTTGTCATGAAATATCACATGATAGACTTTTGCAATTTTCATCACGTTGTTAATACACAGTCGACCTTTAGCTGGAGACGATTTTGCGATATTCCGCAAGCACTGCGATTTTCTTTTCTTAAATCGCAATATGCAATTGAACCTTTCAAAATCGCGCCTGGAACTTAAAATTGTTCGTCATTTAATTATTTAATAATTGAGTATCTATGCAAATATCGCGCGACAATCTATTATATTTTATATTATTTAATCCAAACTTATACATTTAGAGACATAATGGGACAGTGCCATTATAACAGTTTTAAAATGTTGAAAAGCATTATTTTTTTTATATATGATTTATATATGTTTTGGAAGATTATCAAAGATTGCTACACTTAACATTGGTTGTCATTAATATTTTAGTAAAAAAAATATTTTAGTAACAAAAATGTAGCCTTATCGTTTTATGAGAAAAATGTCAATAAATAATTATATTAAATAATTAATTAAACAAAATAACACATTTTTTATATATTGCACGTTTTAATAAGTTATTTTTAAAAAGATTTGAAAATTTTAATGATTCGGAAATAAAGTTTTGTAAAATGTCTTCTACTTTGTCCACGTAGAAATTATAAGGAGGTTAAGTGATATTTTTAAAATAACATCATTTAACTTTATGATCCATTCATTTTTAATTATTATTTCACAGTAAAACTTGTGTTTTCTCCTAGTGGACGTTTCAAAGAATGTTTTGATACAGTATAAAGAGAGAGAGTTGATTTATTCATGTTTCATATGTTTAACATTTATATTTAAACATATTTAAACAGTTCCCATCATGCCTCAGATTTCCTTATGATAAAAAATCGCGTCAGCGACATAAAATCGCGCGCGACTCAAAATCGTACTTGCGACATAAAATCGCGCGCCATTAAAAATCATATTTATAACAAAAAATTGCGACGCGATTCTTAAAAAGGCTCGCATCGCGATACACCGTTTCATAAATCGCGCATCCCCACCCCCGGCGCATAAATACCCGAGACGCTGAGGTTTCCGAAAAATTCGCGAGACCTCTCGAGGAGGCTTTAATTAATATTCGACTGGGACCTTCGGTCATTATTACCCGCGGCTAGGCGGTACTCCGGAGCCGGAGTCTCTCGACGGGGTGCGCGCGGACGGCTACGTGAGCCGGCGTGTGCCGGCAGCCAGCCAGTCATTCGCCGGCCGCCGGTGCAGTGTGTCGCGATTGTGTTACATCGTGCGGTCCTATTCACGCCTTCGTAGCCTTCGGGGACTCCGTCGTTCGTTCGAACGTCGCTCGAGGGAATGCCGTTCGCCGCCGGGACCGCGTCGAGGGGATCGCTGCTCGCCGTCGTCGCGGTCGGTCTGTGACGAGAGGAGCCGCGCGCGAGAAGACACACACACACACACACACACACACGGAAGCTGCGACGTGCTCTCCGTCGTCGCGAGAGCGGCCCGCGCTCAGGTGATCTCAGGACGGGATTTCGCCAACGCCGGGGGCTCGTAAAAGAGCGTGCAGTTTGTGCTCTGTGCTGTGCATCTTGTATATATAATATATTTATATGTATAAATAGAGAGAAAGAGAGAGAGAGAGAGAGAGAGAGAGAGAGAGAGAAAGAGAAAGAGAGAGAGAGAGAGATAGATATATACATATACAAGTATCTCGGCCCGCGAGTGTTTACCTTCGACGACCACCTGTTGCGCGGTTAACCCGCGCAAACGTCCCTCTTGTGTCACGTTGGATTAACCGGATTACGCGCGCCGCCGGGATACCCTACGCGCGGAGATAAATCATCGGCCGTGTTGGAAACGCCGCGCTAAAGTCAAAAGAGCAGACGCCAGAGGAGGAAAGGTAAGGCGAGCGAATGACCCCACGCGTCGGTGCGCGTGCGCGCGCGCACGCGTTCCTCGCTTTTCGTCCGAGCGAACGGCGCCGCCTCGCCGATTCGTGTAATCACCGCGGCATAACATTGACACTAATTCGCGCGCGCATGCACGCGACTCGTTCCTCGTGCTTGATTATTAATGAACGAGCGTGTACTCGCGCGATCCTCGGCTGCTCTTGTGCTTTCGTGCTCGCGCGCGAGCTGCTCTCGTCGCGAGTTGGTCGAGCGCCGGTCTGGCGGCGAGTTCAAATTGACACCTGGACGAGAGATTCCAACGGTGCCAGGTGGAGAGGTCCGAGATCCAAACGGTCCGGACGGCAATTTGAACGAAAGTTATATCCTTGACGGGTATTATAGAGAGTAAAGAAGCTCTCTCTCTCTCTCTCTCTCTCTCTCTCTCCCTCCCTCTCTCTCTCTTTCTCTCGTTCATAGCCTTCGGGATCCCTCGAACTGCTCTGATATATCTTCAAACCTGTCGTATCTTATTTATATAATCGCATTTTTAGAGATCTTGATAAAGCCCGATCGGCTGTTACATCGACTATCGTAATGGGAGTGAGAACACGAAGTGTGGATCCGATCGAATTGCACGGATAATCTCCGTTTTCGAGAAATGTACGCGGAATAATCAGCGAAGAGGCACGTGTTTTCTCTTGAAATGCCATGCGATCTATCTGAATCTTATCGAGCGATTGCTAGATAAAACGTTAGAAAATAAAAAGTACATATATATTTTTTTTTTAAACATGGAATCTTCCATAAATATATAAGAGCGTGCCGTGTATATTTTCTTGCGGCATCTTCCATAAAGAGCCGTGTCGTGCATAAGAATATCACGAAGCTGCTCAACTCACTTGTCCTTAATTATAAATTCGCTCGCGAGTTCTCAGTAGACTCGTATAAATTCTTAACTGAAAACTGAAGGAACTGACGTTTTGGATATTCTTTTTCTAAAATATGTATATATAACATAATATATAACACAATATATATAAAAGCGCACTGTGTATATTTTCTCATGATATCTTCCATAATAAAATTATGTTGTGCCGCACTGAGAGAAAAAATATATTTAAAAAATAATAAATATTTATATTTATTAGGTGGGTACTTATATTTACTAATACAAAGTATTTTTCAAATAAGAAAATATACATTTTCTTAAGACCTCAAAAAAACTTTAATGTTTTTCATGAAAGCAATTATTTATTTTATTTAAATGAAAGAATTAAGATTTAGATTTAAGTAATTTAATTTAAGAATTTAGAATTAGATTTAAGTAAGTATAAATATTGGCGCCCACCACACAAATAAATACTTATTATTTTTTACATATCTTTTCTCTCAGTATGCATAAAACTGTCGAGACTGCCTGCGATACTTGTTCTCAATTATAAATTCGCTCGTAAGTTTTTAGTAGACTTATGCAGACTCTTTTAATTGAAGATCAAAGAAATGCATATTTTGGATATTTTTATTTCTAGCATATACATGGAGAGAATATTATAATTTCTTTTTTTATATAAATTCTTTATGCTTTTAGTAGTCGAGAAATAGACTATCAATAAGACCTATCTTTGCTAAGGAACGCAGTAAATTTCTCTAGAAATACAGCAAGTGTTAGCAAGCGTACAGCGAATGCAAATCTGTACACTCGAGTTCCTGAAACATAATTAGTACGTATGAAACGAAAGGCTGGAGTGAATTAGAATATGTCGACCCATTTCTCGGTTACAAAATCCCGCGCTGATTTTTACTACGAAATTCTCACCGTGTATACATATATACATATACACCGTGTGCATATTCAATACCAGCGCGTGTGTGACAGCGCGTCGCGGAATGGAACGGGCCGCGTGGCGTAGCGCGAGAAGATAGCCGTATCGAACGGACGCGCGGCGCGGCGCGAAACGGCGCAGCGCAGCGCAACGTAGCGCAGCGCAGCGTGGCACGGCGAAGGGGAGATCGCACAAGGGCCTCGCGAGGTGGGGATCCGAGAGGGGTAGGGCCATTTCGATGTGACGGGAGAGGGAGAGAGGGGGAGAGAGAGAGAGCAAGAGAGAGAGAGAGAGAGAGAGAGAGAGAGAGAGAGAGGAGTACGGGAGAGCGTGCATTCCAAAGCGAACGCGACTGCGCACGCTCGCGACTCGCGCGGCTCGGCACCCGCGTATTCGCTCGACCATGCGTCGTCGAACCGAGGACCGTGAAGAGCGTAGCGTAAAGCCTACTTTAGACGATCTGTAATTCGCGTCGGAATTCGGCACGGAATTCCACCGGCAATCTTATGCCCGCGCAGTGCGCAGGATATTCCAGCTCTTGGGTTCGCGTCTACAGTAGGGATGTGCGATTTATGAAATTGTGTATCGCGTGATGCCATCTTTCTCACGAGATGAAAAATTATCTTAAAATCAACAAATATTTCTTTGATATGGGTGCCGTTAACATTTATTTATTTAAATCTAAATTCTCTTTATTTTAACCAAATATTGTTTACTTAAATCAGGTAAACAATATTTGATTTAAATAAAGAGATTTAAGTAAATATGTTAATAATGGCACCCATCAAAAAAATATTTGTTGATTTTAAAATAATTTTTTCCTCAGTGTATTACAGCATAATTTTGTATCGCAAATATGATTTTACATCGCTAATGCGACTTTTAATCATAAGAAAACATGGTAGGAACCGTAATGTTGAAATAAATGTTGAATATATTAAAAATGAATAAATCAATTCTCTCTTTACAGACTGCATCAAAATATTCTTTGAAATGTCCACTGTAAGGAAACACAA